GGTATCAGATTATTAATCGATTTATCAAATAAATAATCGACTGATTAATCGATTGGCAGAATAATCGTTGGTTGCATCCTTAGTGCTGAGTAACTGTAGGAGTCGCCTGTAATAAACCGTTAAACATCTGGAAAACATTCAGTTTTATAGACTTTGCTATTAGAAAACTCATCTATTTTAAATTTTCCATGTCAAATAAAATCTGCAGACTTTTGAGATTTTGCTTTAAAGTAGATTAAAACTTTTACTCTGTTCCTTCAGGAAATACTAGAACTTTGCCTCATTTGTAAAGAATAATCATAGAATGATGGACTTCATTTCTTAAAGTCTGTCTAGAATCTTAGATCTATAGTTAGATTTTATGAAGGCGGAAGTAAGGCCATGGTTCTCATTGATCTTTGAACCTATAATAAATCTGAGCTTATGAGTCCAGCCTGTTCAATGCCAACTCTGACAACATTATGAGATGTTGGAAGCGAGATCTAGATGCTTTACTGGGATTTAAGATTAACTTTTATCAAGATTTGCTTCTTTGGATCGCGACACTTTTTACTTATTGTGCTTATTTACTAAGGTTGAGTAGTTTGTGTCACCAGAGGAAAAACATGACATGAAGTATCTGAAGTAATTGCCTTCCTATCTGTGTGACCAATCTGAATCTGACTCAGATAAAAAAAAAGGTTTCCAGCGTTGGTTCACTTCCTTATTTGCTGGGTGTTGTTTTCAGCTCACGCATTTCTTTTTCCTTTCACCTCTTCTGTCTTCTAAAACAACATGTGGGGTCACGGTCAGTCCTGCCGTTCTTTATATTTACGGGAAAAAAGGACAATTTTCCTGCAGAAAATAAAAATATTCTTTTTCTTTCCTACAGAGCAGCGGAAAAAGTATTCCAACTCCAACTTTATCACTCATGAGACGTCGCAGTATCATGTTGAGGTAAAGTCTCTTTGATTGACGATTTAATCCTAAAGTTTAGAATTTAGATGAATGAATGAAGTATAAAGTTTTGCAAAGTATTTGTTATTCTCATTATATGTTTTAAAGAAAATAGGTTATTTTTATGTTTACATAGATTTGGTAACGTCTGTATTTCTGCTCGATATTTACAGCCTGTCTTTGAAATGTTCTTGAAAAGGTTTAGGTTTAGGGTTGGGTTTAGGTTTAGGCTTAGGTTAAGGTCTTAACTTTACTTGTGATCTTTGAAGTGGTCTAACTGGTGGTGATGGTAGACACCTGCAGGGTGGTGGGGGCCATCAGGCTTCTGTGGTTCATGAGGAGAAGAGGGACGTTTCACTGCTACTAAATCAAACATTACCTGTTCATTTAAAGGACCAAAGTTCTGGATTTCTATTTTTTTTATAAGGCTCCTTGTGTTTTATTTCAATGATTTCAAGGAGAAAAACATTTTTTCTCTCAGACTGTTTTGAACCATAAAACATGCTGTGGATTTGAGCCCTTTTGGTTGGAAGCTTCAGAGTTGATTTAACCTGATATTCCAGACTTTATATTCTGATGTTTAGGAATAGTTGGCAATGTGTCCGTCTGTCTGTCGCAGTTTATTTTTCCCTCCCAGGAACCGAATAAAAGTGCAATAATATAGAAACATGGCGTTTATATCCGAGTGTCCCTAAAGAGACGTTTTAGAAGAGGAAATATATTATATGTATGTAAATATATTTTTTAGAAGGTGTTTTTTCCTCCGTCTTTGAATATTTAAAGCATAAATCAGAAGCTCCTAAATTTAAGAATCAATTTTATCTGTTGCCTTTTGGCCTAATTTGTTGCTTCTGCAACATTTTCACTGGAAACTTATGAAAACTCCCAAAAACTACGAAGATTTATTTATTTTGGATATTATTAAAAAAAAAAAAAGAATGTTTTAATAATTGCTTTAATTTTGTCATTTAAAAGTTACATACTTTATCTTATGAAGTGATTTAACTGATCTCTGCAATGACTGATAGAAAATTACAATTATGTATCTTTAAAAGACCATAACTTTATTTTTTAACATAATAATCACCCTAAGGCTTAAGAATAAAAGTAAAATAAAGATTTAGTTTAGTTAGAAGTGATCCATATTAAGTATATGACATCAGAGGCAACAGTTGGCTTTTCTTACTGGTTTAGATCTTTAAGTAATTGGATTAAACTAACTCTTAGTATTAATAAACCACTGCTGGATCACAGGCCGCTCAGATAAAGATAATTAAAACCCGAGCATGAAGTATTTTGTGCTTCATAAAATCTTTAAAAACCTGGAAAAAAGGTAATTTTTTCTTAAATGCCTAATGTGAAAATTAATATAAGTAATAAGTAATTAAGAGAACTGAGCTTGATCTATAAAAGTCTGTAATTTAGCATCGATGAAGTTATTTCTTCCTGTTTTTGTTTGTAGAGTTCTATAAGCCCATGTGGCACTTCAAAAAATTCATTTATTCATTCATTCATTATTAATGAATAAATAAATAAATTAATTAATTAATATCTAATTCTAAGTTTTTGACCTGGTTCCTTTTAAGTAAACTATGCATATTAGGATGTGGTTATAAATAGGGGGAAAGGAAAGAGTTAGAAAAGCTTCCTTAATTAAAGTGTTAGGGTTATGAATGTATTTCCTGTTACCAGCTGCTGGTCACAGAGGAGGAAGATAAAGAGTCTATCATGAAATGATCCTGGTCTGTTCTTTAGACCAGAGATTAAAGCTCACATCATGATGTCTGAGATTTACAAGAGCGTATAATAAAACAATCAGCGCTGTGAAAGCGGGCGTGTCGGGCGTCTACGCCGCTGGAAGACGTGCTGTTGGTCAGTCATTGCCTCTGAACTCTGTTCCAACCAATTTAGATGAAACGCCTCTTTATTGTTGCACATGTGCAGGTCATGAGACCGAGGCTCCGCTGCTGCTTTTAAAAGCAGCAATAAAAGACCTAAACTCAAATTTCACCCAAAGATGTAAGATCTGGATTTATTTGAATAAAATATTAGTAATGGATATTAAAGTATTGAATTGTTAATGAGAGCAGATAGTTTTTTATTTGGTAGCATTAGGATGTGAGGGGTGGTTCTACTTCTGCTAGCAGATTCGTTCCCTCAGAGCATTAAAGACGATATCAGAGAGAAAGAAAACCTGGAAAACCTGGAAAACCTGGAAGCCTTTAGATGACATCACAGCTGGTAATTATTTTATTTTCAGGAATCATTTCTGGCCAAATATAAAAGCTTCAGTGAAGCTGAATTTAATCTCATTTAAAACCACAGAACCAACTGACATTTTATAACAATCAGATAACAAACACTGCCTTCAAAAATCAATTCATGCTTTCAAAACTTTTTATTTTTATCTTTCGACTTTTTCCATGAAAAAAAATAAAGGAAATGAAATTTAAATTTTAATACCTTTATTGGAATATTTATAATTGACCAACAGGAAGTTACTGGTTAATGGCCTCTAATTATATAGTCAGGAGACTTGACCAAAGAACTTTACTCTCATTCACTCATTCACTCAAACACTCATTCACTCACACACTCATTCACTCATTCACTCAAACACTCATTCACTCACACACTTATTCACTCATTCACTCATTCACTCATTCACTGACACTCATTCACTCACACACTCATTCACTGACACTCATTCACTCAAACACTCATTCACTCACACACTCATTCACTCATTCACTCAAACACTCATTCACTCACACACTTATTCACTCATTCACTCACACACTCATTCACTGACACTCATTCACTCAGTCATTCACTCACACACTCATTCACTCATTCACTCACACACTCATTCACTGACACTCATTCACTCAGTCATTCACTCACACACTCATTCACTCATTCACTCATTCACTCATTCACTCACACACTTATTCACTCATTCACTCACACACTCATTCACTCATTCACTCAAACACTCATTCACTCACACACTTATTCACTCATTCACTCACACACTCATTCACTGACACTCATTCACTCAGTCATTCACTCACACACTCATTCACTCATTCACTCACACACTCATTCACTGACACTCATTCACTCAGTCATTCACTCACACACTCATTCACTCAC